TGAGGCATTTACTCTAGGCCAGGGGTTCCCGGGGGGCGGGTGGGAAGGTCCCTTTGCCATAGCCTGGGCCTAGGAAGAGGTTGGAAATGAGCCAGATGCTGAACGATGAATAGGGTGTGGAAAGGAAGAAAGGGGTGTGGGGGCCAAGCCAGGAGGCGAGATGGGCCTTTCAAGCAGGAATTACACAAAAGCAGCAGTGGGTGGTGTGGGATCGGCGTTCTGGAAAGAAGCCACTAGGGGCCGGGGAACCACCGGCAGAAAGGTGGAGGGTGAAAACACAAGGCTCCGTGAGCGGTCCCCAGGGAGCAGGGGGTGCCGTTTGCGTCTTGGAGATCAGCTGTAGTTGGCAACAAGTCCCTGAGGGTAGGGACCATGCGGGTCCTGTTCACCATTGTTTCCAAAGCCTAAAGGAAGGTTTCCCACAAACCCTCAATAAATACGTACTGAACAGATGAAAGGGAGAAAAATCAGCTCAGCAAGAGTGGCTCGGATGATAAAGATGAGGACAAAGAGGAGTGTGGTCAAATTTTGCAAAGATCAAGGACAGTGAAGTCAGGGTTCCTGGGGGAGCGGAGAGAGACGGGGAGCGCAGGGAAGAGGTTCAGGGGTGAGCGCAAGGTGAGCAAGCAGGCACTCTCTGCAGGGGGAGAGAGGGAGACAGGGCCAGCCAGGGCCGGGGGAGGTCCCTGTGCACAGGCCCACCAGGAGGGACAGAGATCAGAGGAGTGGAGAGGTGGGGAGGGCTGGCTCTGAGAAGGCGACAACCAAGACAGAGACAACCTGTGAATAAGGCAGGTGCCCTGACCTGCGGACAGAGGAAGAGAGGGAGGGAGGACACAGGTTAGCTCCCCAGATGGCCTCTTCTCTCTCAACCAAGAGGCAAACGGTCTTTTGAGAATGCGTTTTGGAAAAGGGGATGAACCGAGAACTCCGGGGCCTGAAGCAGAGCCAAAGCGCCTTCCCTTCCGGCTTCTGGGAAAGAGCTAGAGTGTGACTCCTCAGACGGCAGCTGGAGACCCAGCCCCAGCCTATGCATGACTACTGCAGCTGAGGGCTGTCACATGGGTGACCAAGGTAACTAAAGGCCGTGTTGCTACAAAAACACCTCCCAACTTCTCCCCACTGACCCCTCTAGACCAGCCCCATGGTGTCTCATTCTATAGGACCTAGCCCCCAAATCGGCTGGGTGACGAGGAGGCCTGGATCCATTTCCTGACATTTTTGAGAACCAGGAAGCTTTCAGTAAACAATGAGGGGGCCTCATTAGGCATCAGATTCCATACATATTCCCGAGTAGGAGCTTTTTCATCCGGGTCTTTCAGAACCCCTGGAAAGGCTGAATATGTTGAGAATAAAGCAGATGCCAAGTGTGGAGTGCGTATTGGGAATGCATGCAAGCCTCTGATAAGGGATGGAATGAGGTGATCTCCAAACATCTTGCAGCCCTGACATGCTATGAAAAATGCTATGGATCAGATGGAAGACAGATAGAGGGAAAGGCGGGGAAAGGAGCGGGGTCCTAATCACTCTGGTCAGAAAGGTCCCAATATTTATGATAAACACATGTTTAAGAAAGCAAAGTGCTTTCCTGCTACATCCATCACAGGGAGACTCGGGGAAATGCTGTCTCAAGCCAGGTAGCACAATGTGCCTGCCATTTCTTCCCAGGCTGCACATTTTTACATGGGATACAGAAGGGAATCAGACGGGAGAGCCCCCGGGGGGGCCATACTATGAGCACTTCCACTCCCTGAATCCCCTGTTTCTTGCCATCACCCCAAAAGTGTGACCCCAGCCTTGCCTGCAGAGTCACGGGCACTCGCCGCTTATTTATCTGCCCCGGTGCATGCAGCTTTAATTATTTATGATAGTGTCTCATCACACTCGGGAATGTGTCTTGGAATCACTTCTCTCAACTGATGAAGCCTTTGTAATCAGAGACCTGCCTGGCTTAGCTGGTAAATCTCACTGAGGGGCGGGGCCGGCGCCACCTTTCCCGGGCCTGGGCGTCAACCAGGGACTCACAGAGGCGGGGTGAGCCAGACCCAGTTACGACGCTCAGTGCATGCTGTCTGTGGTTGCCATAGATGTTTTCGGGAAACAGTTAGGAGCCATCCACGGTCTACTGACAGGACAAAACTTCCTGCTTCCCTGAAAAGGACACTTTCCCTAATATTGGAGGGTTCTAACAAGCTGGAGTTAGCTCGTGATGCCCCTCAGATGATGTACTGTTTATTCCCTTATTCTGTCTGGTCTTCATCAATAAACCCACTTCCCCTCCATCTCCACCGACCCCTTCTTGTTCTCACAGAACTACCACCTGGATCCTTCAAAAGTCCACTTCGAATCACAAGCCCAGGGATTAGGAAGGAAGGTTTTTTTCTCCACTCAGTTTTGTAGGGCCATAGCTCCTTGGCTGGGGCGGGGATCCTGACATTAAAGGACACTCAGATCCCATGGCTCTCTCCAGGGCTCACACTTATTCTGATGGCCCAGAGGAAACTTCCTTCCCACGTGCAAGATTCACCCCCATTTGACAACCACAGGGAAGCTGGTATCAGGAACTCAGGTGCGCACAGACACAACCCAGAAACTCTACACCAGGAGCTCAGAACTTCCCCTAAAGGGCATATGGTCCATCCTCATTATTCATGGATTCTGGATTTACAAATTCGCCTCCTCGCTAAAACTTATGTGTAACCCCCAAACCAACACTCCTGGCGTTTTTGTGGTCATTCATAAACATGAAAGGAGTGGTGAGAAATGGGAGTCACCCGATGGGCACATTCCCACATGAGGCTCTGCCTTTTTGTTTCAGTTCTCATAACATAAACCAGTGTCCTTTTCGTCATTTATTTGGTACCATTTAATTTTGAATATTTGTGCCTTTTATGGGTGATTTCACTGTTTAAAATGACCCCAAGCTCGGGGCGCCTGGGTGGCTCTGTCGTTAAGCGTCTGCCTTTGGCTCAGGTCATGATCCCAGGGTCCTGGGATCGAGCCCCACATCGGGCTCCCTGCTCAGCGAGAGTCTGCTTTTCCCTCTCCCTCTGCCGCTCCCCTGCTTGTGCTCTCTCTCTTTCTCTCTCTCTCTGTCAAATAAATAAAATCTTTAAAAAAAATTTTTTTTAAATTAAAATAAAATAAAATGGCCCCTCAAGCATAGTGCTGAAGTACTCTCTAGCATTCCTATGAGCAAGAAGGCTGTGGTGAGCCTTATGGAGCAAATAGGTGCGTTCGAGAAGATTCGTGTGTTAGATAAAACTCTGTTCAGGCCTGAGTCATTGTGCTGCTGACCCTGAGTTTGATGTTAATGAACCAACAATATCTATTAAATAAGGCGTCTTCCAACAGAAGCGCACATAAAACACGTTATGTATTGATTTGTTGATAAAAGTGTTATGACCAGATATTCACAGGAGCCTAACCCTGTATGTCCCCTAGGAGCAATGGCTCAGCATCCACTAATTCAGTGTTTGTGGTGACTTTATGGGAACATAACTACTGTGAATAATGAGAATCAACTGTATATTCAATACAGCAAAGCCTAGGTCTCTGTTCAAATGTCAGCATCGCTATAGAAAGCTCTGCACCCCCAATTCTAGACCAAGCCTGGACCCCATGCTACCATCAGAGAAAGGCTTTCCTTCCAGCCACACCCACGTCCGTCCAAGATGAACCTGACCCAAGGCAAGGCCTTCAGCCAGAGCAGAACGTTCTTAGCACTATGTTCCCCGCTATTTTGACAGGGGGTGTCCGATAAATACTAAGGCCAATTCTGAAGGACACGCAAGGACACCCAAGGTGGGGAGGCACATGACTGTGACTCGAGCCCAGTCCCTCCCACTGTGTCAGTCCTCTTACTAAAAATCAGAGCCAGGAAAACAGAAGCAAAGGTTAGTGCGAGAGCCGAATGCCCGCTCGGCTGTAAGATGGACCAGCAGGAGCAGCAAGAGGCCTGTGAGCTACGGTGTGGCCCGAGTACAGAGCGCTCAGCCAGAGCAAGAGAAAGACCCAGGGGGCTTCTTCCTTGGCTGAAACCCTGGACCAGCAGACAGAAGAAGAGAACCAATGGCAGAAGCCAGGGGACAGGGGAGAGGAACTCACAGCCTCCCAGTATCTCAGTTTTCCTGTTCGTAATATGAGGCCTTCGCCCAGCCCGTCCCTTCCAGCTCTCAGTCTCCAGGGGCCTCTGTACTCTCTCCTGAACTAGCTGACCATTTCTTGAGGGCAGGAGCAGGGAAGGGTGTGGGCTGGGGCTGCTAGGCCTACACAGAAGCTGGGACACCAGCAAAGGGACCACCTGCTGAATGGGAAGTCCAAGCCACAGAGTCTCCGGAAGAGGGGAGAGGCCCTAGCAGAGCTGAGCAGAAATACAAGGAGAGGGACTGGAACCAAGAGCAGGCAAGAAACGAGGAGGAAAGCGGTGCCCTGAATCCTCTGATCTGAGTGAGACATCTGCAGAGGGAGGGGAGGTGTCCTAGCAGTGGGGCCGTGAGGAGATTCTCAGAAAGTGCGCACTTCGGGGCACTGGAGGGGCAGCTAGGGAGGTGTTTCCATTCAAATGGTACTCACCACCCTTCATTCCCTTCCCTTCTCCTGGAGGTTTGGGTGGAGGGTCTGGTAAGCTCAGGGGCTATTGTCTGGACAGAGTCAGGTTACATTTCCTAAATGCAGGGCCAGGTCTCTAGAGAAGACCAGCCTTGGCTGTGCCCCCTGCCATACTGGGAGCACGTCTCCATGTGGGGCTGGGCCTCCTGCATCCAGGCTGCTCCCCACCCTGAGCCCTCTCTGTCCAGGGGGCTCTGCCCCAGTGGAGACCCCTTGCCTAAGCTATTTTTCAAGTTTTGAGATGAACAGGGAGGGTCTCTTAAGAGAGTGGGAGGTTAGCAGGTGGTAGGTCACCTCAGAAGGTTCCAGAACCCCAGCTACGTGGTCTGTTGCCATGCCACCCTCCCCCGCCCTGCCCAGAAGGGACAACGCTCTACTCCAGTACTCACACGTGTCTGGCTTGTGGCAGCTGTGTCCCTGACGGAAGTACTGGGGGTTCTCAATGACCGGGATGCGGGTCATGCCGATGACCACCGTGTCTGGCCCGGCATCCAACGATGAGGGCGTGGTGATGCCATGGTTGATGTGGTGCAGTGGGCTGGCTGAGTCCTCCTCACCACTGATGACAGCCACAGGCCCTACGCGCACCAAGAGAGACACAGGGACATCAGTGAAGTCACACCTGGCCAGTGCCTAGCCCTGCCCACAGATCCTCTCACTATTTCTGCCACCACAGTTCCAGAAGAGTGAAACCCACTGGATGAGCATTCCCTGAATGCTCTGGAGTCTGCATTCAAAGAACCACCCCTTCGTTCTTCTTGAGAGAGAGAAAGGTCCACCCCATCACACCATGGAAACAACTGCAAAAGTGTATCAAAATGACTCTGCCATGAATTATTTTCACTTCCCCCAAATCCAAATTAGTTCAAAATAATGCAAATTTTAAATGAGTTCTTTCTTATGTAGCAACAACGGGATAAAAAAAAATGTACATATAGCAGTCATTTGCACCTTGTCCCTCCTTCCTTCGGAAGCTTTAGAAACTATCAATGGTGGGTCCCACCCCAGTTTCTGATTCAGCTGGTCTGGGGATGCACCTGGGCGTCAGGATTTAAAGTACGCCCGTGTGAGTCCCATGCACAGCCAGGATCTAGAGCCTCTAATTAGGGCCTTGGAGTGCCTTAATCAGCCTTTCCAGAGTGGCCCTCAGATTCCTATAGGAATGTATCCAGCTTTCGCTGGACTCAGCTGTGGCCTCTCCCAGTCCACAGGGAGCTAAGCCCAGAACCTGAGCCAGACTTCAAAGTGACACGAATTCGGCTGCATCACTGTTAGCCTTCCTGCAACTGGGTCAGCTGCCCACTCTCAAAAGATCCACACTGCCCCAGTGACCCCAAGGAACATCGTTCACGTCTTCACCAACCCCAACTCCAATTTACAAACACAAGCTGACAAAGATAATTGTTGCCACAGTCTGGGCAGAACAAGGATTCTGTCTGGTGGGGCGATTCTCCCAAACATACAAATAAAACCGACATCAAGGGCATCGGCCGTGACTGTGGCTTCTTACAGCTGGTATTTGAAATGGGTGCTTTGCAAGACACACGGTCCCAAGACAAAGTGCCCTCTGTGATTCGGCTTTGCAGCTCGCACAATACTTCCGCTGTAGAAGTCCATCACACCTACCGAAGTTTATGGGGAGAACACTTCCCATCGAAGAGCAAGGTGAAGCACCAATGAAGCAGAACTAAAAGGAAGACTAGTGAACGTGAACTGAGGACCCTGAATTCCACTCCATGGAATTATTCCAGACAGGCTTATTCCAATCCACAACAAATGCCTGACAGGTTTTGGAGGCCCCGTGGAAAAGGAGCAATGCATGGCGATAATCACTCGCCCTGCAAACAGAGGCCAGTTCCTGAAAACACCTTGTAAACTCTGAGAAACTTCGTCACGATTCCAATTAAACACTGAAAGCGGGCATGGGTTTTTCTCCTTCCTCTCTCCCCAAATGCCTCTAAAATATAAAGAAATTAAAGAAATATTGGTGAGCCAAGAGCAAGAAGAGGGGAGACCAGAGGAAATAAGATATTTCAATGTTTTGGAAGATGAAAAGTGAAATGATGTAAGCTTGCTTACAGAGGGGCTGCAGGGGGAATATTTAGAGAAAGTCAGTTCTGCTGAGTCGCCCAGGACTTGAACGGACAGGGTAACCCGGAAGGCTGGATCGGGGCTCAGGGTTGGAACAAATTACCCAAGCTATGACCTTGGCCCCAGCCCACCAGTCTAGTGGTTTCTTCCTGGAGAAAATTAAGTGGAAAGGCTGAGGGGAAGGGTTGGTTCCCTTCTTGCTGCTCCTGGAAGACAGAAACCAGGAATACCCATGCCTCTTACTGACCCTACTCCCAGTCTCCTCCCCTGAAGGAGATTCAGAGGATGCTTCTCTGCAGAAACTGAACGCCTCAAAAAAAACCACCTAGATGTTAGGGTGCCTGGGTGGCTGACTATTGATTTTGGCTCAGGTCATGATCTCAGGGTCATGAGATCAAGCCTTGCATAGGGCTCCACGCTCAGCAGGGAGTCTACTTAAGATACTCTCTCTCCCTCTGCCCACCCCCTGCTCTCTCTCTCTCTCTTATTTAAAGATAAATAAATCTTAAAAAAAAAAAAAGTACCTAGATGTTGACATTTGGCGGTCTCCTAATGAAGTCATGCTTAGTCTGTGATCATGCCATAGTGAAGGCTAATAGTTGAAGAGGCCCACCTATGTGCATAAAGTGCTTTCTAGAACTCAATTCCTAAATATGAGAGAACAGTCCAGGATCCTCAGACATTTCAGCAAAGCTTCAACATGAAAGAGAGAGAGCAAGACAAAGAGATAATTAGGGACCTGCAGGAAACAGAGCATTGCAAGGAGCAGAAGACTTTTTTTTTCTAAATCACGAATATTCTCAGAGAGACAAATGAAGACATCACATTCATAAAAAAAGATATTTAAAATGTGAACAATTCAAGGGTCAGAAAGAGTCCTTGAGAATTATGACCATCAGAATTCAAAAGCCAAAGAGGAGTGGAAGATAAAGCCAAGGAGATCAGAAAGTCAAACAAAACAGAAAGAGGCAGTAAATAGGAAAGAAAAGAGAAGAAAATTAAAGACTCAATCCAGAGATTCAATATCTGACTAGAAGAAAGGTGGCAGGGTAGGGAGAGGGAGAAAGGGAAGGAGAGAGAATAGAAAAGATGGAAGGGAGGATAAAAAATTAGGGAAAAATTTCTCCAAATGGCCTGTCTACTCAGTTTCAAGCATAATTAATACATGCACGTGTGCATCTGCCCACGCACACACGCGCACGTACACATAGGCATACACACACATATATCAAGGCACAAAGTTATAAAATGCCAGAACCCTGAGAATAAAGAGAAGATGCTAAGAGCTTGTAGGAGGGAGGGATAGGTCATATTTCAAAAGGAACAGAAATCAGAAAGACAATGCATAACATAACATAACAACCCACTGTGACTACGCTGAGCAATCCCTTCAAATTTTTTTTTAAGATTTATTTATTTATTTGAGAGAGAAACAGAGAGCAGGGGGAAAGCAGAGGGAGAGAATCTCCAGCAGACTCCCTGCTGAGCATGGAGGTCAACACGAGGCTTGATCTCAGGACCCTGAGATCAAGCCCTGAGCTGAAATAAGATTTGGATGCTCAACTGACTGAGCCACGTGGGTGTCCCAATTCCTTCAAATTTTTGATGCACAAATTTTCAGCCTAGAATTCTACCCCTAAAAGTGTATTCACAGGACGGCCTGGGTGGCTCAGTCAGTTAAGCGTCTGCCTTCGGCTCAGGTCATGATCCCAGGATCCTGGGATTTAGCCCCGTGTCGGGCTCCTTGCTCAACGGGGAGTCTGCTTCTCCCTTTGCCTGCCACTCCTCCTGCTTGTGCTCTCTCTCTCCCTGACAAATAAATAAAATCTTTAAAAAAATAAATAAAAGTGTATTCACCCATTGCAAGGGCAGAAGACAGGTACTTGCAGGTGTGCAGACGCTCACCTCCCCCTTCCTAGGAAGCAGCAGGAGGGGACGCTTTGGCAAAACAAAGGGGCAAACGGGGAAAAGAGGGAATGTAAGATCCATTTCCAAGCGACAGAAGGCCCCCGCACCCGGGTCTGTTCCCAGCATTATGGGATGTGGGTTGTTATAGCAACATGGCGGCAGGACACAGAATCAGGAGGAGTTTGGAGAAGACAGAAACGATGGGACTTGAGCCTTTTACAAAAGGCTGTTTCTTTGAATCTGTGTCTCAGGGAGTCAATGGACAGCGAGTGGTCCACACAAAGTTCCAAAGCCTGTGATCTAAAACAGTCTCTGCTTTCTCAACATTATTCTAGGATCTGAGAAGACCAGGTAAGAGCCACAGGGAGGAGAAGGGTCCTGCTACAGGCTCCCAAGCCACAGGAAGGGACAGGGTCACCCAGGAAGACTTCACAGAAATAAATGAATAAGGCAGACTTCGAAGCCCTGGGAAAACTACTACTTAGAATGCGGGCAGAGGAAGGGCAGCAGGGAAAGGAACATGAGAAGAAACGGCCAGAAAAGCAGAAGAGAATCAGAAAACGACACTGACTTAGAAGTCAAGAAGGAGAATACCTAGAAGGTCAAGAGCATACTCTATCAAGGCCAAGTAGAATGAAGAATGAAAATAGGCCACTGTATCTGTCAATGAGAAGGTAGCCTTAGTGAGAGCAGGTCCCAAAGAGGACTGGTAGGAGGAAAACATTCCCCAGCTATAGCATATGGGGAGTCAACTGGAGATCTCACCATTGTCGCCATTTTTATTGAGCACTTTCTATGCAACAGGCTCTGTAAATGCAATGTCTTTAACTTTATAATGCCTCTATGAGGTTGGTGCCTTTATTCTCCCCATTTTACAGATGGAAGCACTGAGGCACTGAGCAGTGACCTGCCCAAGGACACACAGCACAAAATGGGATGCAAAGTGGTGGATGCTCACTGGGCTACAAACCTGGTCTGCCCCAGAGTCTAAGCACATAACAGCGATGCAGCACTGCTTCCCAGAAAGTGCAGACCATGAGGGCGAGAGCATGTGTTCAAAGGGACACTTGGTCAATTCTGGCACATCATCCTCCTCATGAGCAGCTGCTTTAAATTGCAAGTCCCTGAGACCCTTTTTAAAGAGGTTGCTCTTGATCCTCGAGAATAGGGACAAGAGTGAATTACCTCATTAGACTCATGCAGATAGATTACAGATAATTCATCATGAGCTCTGCATCCCAGAGCTGCGGAACGCTTGCATTCAGCTACATCCACATCAAAAAGAGCACAGCGCTGTCAGACTGCTGTCTGGTCCCTGAAGCCCTCCTACTCACCTCCACTCTTCCACGAACCACATCCCTTAAAATAAAAGCCATGAAGAGTGCAGAGACCCCTCACTTCAAAGAACCTATGAGGTGACCCTTGCAGCTCGCTCCTGCCCACCTGCAGGGTCCCCAGCAGGGCTGTGGCCAGCGCTGGGGTGAGACAAGTCCTCTGGGGACAGGGCTGCTCTGGGTATGGCAGGATATGTGGCCTCTCTGGACCTGGGCGTTCAAAGGCAGTCTCGGGTTCCTCAGTT